CACAGGTCGTTCCTTTGGCCCCTGCCTTGCTGGTTACTGGTGCGCCCCCTCAGACTCGCTGGGCCAAGCCAGGCCTTCCTGTGCTTGGTTGGAGGCTTTTCTCCTTACCTGTTTTTAGCTAGGGTTGAATGGGTGGGCAGGGCTGTGGAATAGGAGCCCCACTGCCAGGAGCAGCTGGCAGAGGTGCAGACTTGCTGAACAAGGCTGAGGTGAATGTCAAGAGCTTCAGGAGGCCCCTCCACACTTCCCATCTGCCTTGATCTCTGTTGGCTTTCAGTCAATGCTGCTGCCTCCAGGCATAGTTCAATTCTAGTTCATTGCATTATCTCAGGGAAGGAAAGCAGGACTCTGGGAAGCCAAAATCTTTCTGTTTCCTCCTTCAGATGCAAGTCATCTGTGGAATGATTTAGTGACATCAGTAATTTACTAAGCCCAGTTTCCCCACTTCTTGGGCATTAACAAGGCACGGCCATGTGTGATAGGCTTTGCGGGGATTCCCTCAAGCCCGGGCAGCATTTAGAGTAGGAGCTAAATTTTATTCTGTGTTTCTTCACTTGGCTGTATCCTGTAACAAATCTCATGCTTTGGGTGAATGTTGAGCAGATGCCAAGTATTCTGTGTACTTATGACAAAAACATTTAGAGCTTTCCATGTGTTTTTGTTCCATGTCTCCTAGAAGGAAAAAAAGGAGAAGAAATCTAAACACAGCAAAAAATCAAAAGATCAGATACCCCAAGAAGAGGAAAATGTTTTTTCTGAAAATGACCTTGATCCTCCTAAACCCAAAAAAATTAAGAAAAACAAAACAAAAGTGAATGGAGATTTTAAAGAAAACAGCTCAGAGCACGAGAAGTCTTCCTCCACAAGCAATGGTGATGTTCACTCAAAAACTCAGTGCAAGTCTTTTGAAACATCGAGTGAAGAATGTGTTAGTGATCAAGAGGAGGTAAAGTCATAACCCTACAACTCCTCATTCTACCTGAATTTAGCAGTCTTGCTTAGATACATCTGCATGGTACTGCTACAGATAATTCTGGGCAAAGTTTGTAACAAAGTTTCACAGTAATGGCAAATCCAGCAGGGTTGGAGTTATGGTTTAAAGTTGCTTTAGTGTCCACTTCTTGTTCCCTCTCAATTTGCTTGGTCTGGGGAGGTTGGACAACTCCTGACTTAACTTAGGCTGCTTGAGTCACAGTAGCCTGTAAGGGTGTGCATTGATTTGGGTCGCTGTCCCTGAAGATTTGATGCCGATTCAGAATCAGTGACTCAGCCATAGACACAGCTTTAAATGTTTTTCTGCATATCTCGAGGTACCACTGCAGCTTGTGTTGGTTGCAGTGCTGGGGCAGGTGGAGTGTCCCACGGGGGGGGAGGTGGTCCTCCATGTGCTTGGTGGCGAAGTACTTCCGGTCCACTTCCAGGTATGCCAAGGAGTGTATGGGGGTGCCCTCCCACATCTCCCGGCTTGGCAATCTGCCATGGGGGGACCTCAGATGCCTCCCCAGACTCAGGAGGCACCAGTCACCAAGCTGGGAGGGGCGAGGGGGGGCCCCCCAGTGCGCTCTCCCGTGGACTGGATGTGCTTCTGGTCCACTTCCGGGTCTGTTGCTGAGCGTGCTGGGGAGCCCCCTGCACTTCTGTGGGATGCTCCATGCACCCCAGCATCGCAGCACTCACGAGCTGCCTGCTACCTGTGCCCCGAGGGTACCCCCTCCAGCCCCTGCACCTGCAGCTGAAAGTGGCTCCCACCCTCTTGGAGGTGTGTGTGATGGTGGGGAACTGCCCTACCCATAGTGACAGGAAACAGCAGGCCTACTTGCTGTTCCCTGCCTCCCTGCTTCCCTCCCCCATGACTCAGTGCCACAGGAAGCAGAGAAGCTGCACAGGGATATTCTCACCGGCTGCTGCTCACCCTGCGCTGCCCTGGCGACATGTGTCCTGTGCCTGCTGCTGGTTTGAGGGGAGCAGCCCCATGTGCAGGAGGCATGTCACCAGGGCAGTGCAGGGGGAGCAGCAGCAGATGAGGAGATCTCTGTGTGGCTTCTCTGCTCCGTGCCATGCTGGGTCGCGGGGGAGGGCAGCAGGGAACAACAGGCTTGCTTGCTGCTGTGCCTGCTGCCCTGCACAGCAGTGTGTGGACCTCCATTCATGGTGAATGGAGCCTGAGCTGGGTCGTGGGCTGGGGTGTAGGCAGGTGGCTCCTGCTGCTGCCGGCTGCCCCATCCATGTGCTGCTGACTAGCCAATTGTGTGCTGCTGGCGGTGGGCACAAAACACCCTCACCCCCACATTCAGATGGGTGGGGCTGGGGAAGCACCACAGTGTGCTGTGCGGGGCTGGCGTCCTTCCCCTCCTCTTCCTTTTTCCTCTTTCTCACCCGGGTAAGAGGTGAATGTGCTGGGGGAGATGCTGCTGCTGTGCCCTGATTGTGCTCTGTCTCCGCCTGTTGGCACATACCCCTATAACCTGTCAGAGTACCTTTAGGGGGATGCCTACGCCTGGTTGACCATCCCATGTATTAAAGATAAGTAAAAATGATTTTTATACCCCGTTCTGTATAGTATTCAAGTCTCTAACTCCATTTTTCCCATAAGCCTTTAGTTTAACCAACCATGGGAACTTTCCAGAACCTAACCCCAACAGTTGGTGAGGTAAACATGTAATAGGTCATTTAAATTATCTGTTTTCATCCTTTGAAGAAGTTGGTTCATTTAATTTAAAGTCAATAAGCATGGTGATGGCTTATGGTAAGTAAATTATTTGCCCATTGCTTGGTGAAGGAACTTTCATCCATAAATATTCTACTTCACATGATAAGTATTTGTGGTGTTTTGTATTTATTTTCATTTCTTAAGTATGTGCCAAAATAATGTTTTGTTCTTCTTCCTGGAGAGCATATAAAAATGACCAAATAGCGCAAGGTATATACAGTTTAAAAACTGTTTAACTCCCAAATGTATATGTACCATGTTGCTGTATCTTGAAAGGCCAAGGAAATAGAACACTTTAAAGATGATTTGGGTTTGCACTAAAGAGGTGGGATTAGGAAGCAAAGATTAGAATGAGTTGTGATTAGAAGCAAAGATGCAGAAGTATGGATTTAAGTGTCAGGGTAGAGGGCTGCAACCAAAATACTTACTCAAGGTTACCACTGGGTTTGTGAAGCCTGTATAGAAGTTTATACCACTACCAGAGCTTGCTCCAGAGACGCTGCCAACCTGTCCTGCAGTCAGGCCTCCATTGTGGTGGAGACTTATCTAAGGGTCTGCTTTTTCCCCAAATTAAGGAGATTGATAATGAAATTATTCTTCAGACTTGTTTTTTTTCTCTGATAGGTTAAAATGGCTTGTGATGAATTAGAGTAGTGAATTGGCTCTTACAGTTTATCTGAATCTGCTGTTTTATTTTAATCTATAGGAGCTGACTGAAGAAGAAAAAGAAGGTGCCTTCTCCAATTTTTCTATCTCTAAAGAGACTGCTGAGCTTCTGAAAGGTAACTTTTGGGTCAAAAGGCATTCTTGATCTGTTTGGAGCCATCTTTAACAAAAAAACACATTATAAATAACTTGTCCAGAACTATCCAGTTAGTGACACAAACGCGAGTAAAATCCAGGAGTCCTGATTTCTGAGATCCTCCTGTAACTAGGAGATATGCCCTTGCTGCTGTTAAGGAGGGTTTCAGCTTCACTGAGAGTTCTCAGTGTGGGCTCATCAAGGCAAGGTTATCTCCTCTGCGACAGTTTCTTTTGCGTATACACTGGAGAAAGGTAGTTGTGCTTTTCTCCCTCACAAGCATTATATAAGACAGGGCACTGTACAGACCTGTAGCATGGGCACTTTGTGGCACTTGGCAGATCAGGGAACAAGCAGGAAGTAGAAGGCTGAGCATGAAATCAGGCAGGAAGTAGAAGGCAGGGCAGGAAATGAAGCAGGGAGCACAGTACAGACAAGAAAGCAATGCAACATATCTGGCAGAGGAAGGGGATCAGAGTGGCCCTCAGGAATGGTGTGAGGCTAGCTTGTGACGTGTGTCAAAAGGGTTGGCCCCACTGATATAATAGGTTATATTGCATTTATTCTCTACTGTAACTCTCACAGTGTTTTCTGCAAAACTGTTTTTAGTAGCTGTAACTCCATTGTGTTATATTGGTAGATTTTTTTTCAAGTGTGATGCTTTAAATAATCTGATTCATTATTGGTTACATTTCAGCTCTTAGATCTTTTAACAGTTTTCTCTCTAGTGTTGTATTGTCTCTTCTACAGTGGTCCTGTCTTGTAACTTTAATCTTGGTGAAGTTCATATTCTGATCGTTGTCTCTCTAGATTTTGAGTTCCGTGGTGGCGACTGATGTGTGTGCTACCT